CGTCCAAAGCAGCTCCATCACCAGAACTGAATAAATCGGCAGGTGCCGCGCTGGACACCTTCTTCATTTGCTCGAAGTCCACCGGGAACTCCAAGATCATCTTCTTAAGATAGTCAATCATGTCAATGACTACCTTGCCTGGATCGGAAAAGTCCACCGTCATCCCCAAGTAGTCATGCTTGGGACCACGGGTTGCCTTGACTGCTCCATAGGTTCCATACCTTCCATTGAACCATTCCAAAGTCCGGTCATTCACCAACTTCATTCTGTGGCTTGACATCAAATCATCAACATGGAATCGAATTGTTTTGTTGGTAGCCTTCGGTCATCCGGTTGGCCACACAAGGATCGTATGGGTTGAACACAAATCCAATTTGTTCGAGGTCACTTCTGAATAGCTTGTACCAAAGAAGTGCTGCCAAAAACCATTAGTAATGGCTCTCTCCACGAAACATAGAGGACGGACGTCCCTTTTTGTATGGTAGGAAAGAGGCATATGTGTCAGGATCAATTTCGACAAGTAATCTGCAAGGGTTCCCTCAATGATCATGGAGGACCCTGTCTTCACCTTGTTTGACTTTTGGCATTGGGGTTTGGATAAGCATTGGGAACATCCAGGACATCACATCCCTATCTGGATGCATCGACACACATGGATAACATCAAACCCTCAAGTGAAACTGTTGGGCTTCTTGGCATCTTCTTTCTGATGGTACACCCTTGTAGGTTTTCCCTTGTAGACTGCACGGGCTTGACCGTGCCATCCCTTTCTCACTCACAAACATGAGTGCCATTTGTGCCTTTTTCAATTCAGAATCACTGCATTTCTTTGGGTCGACTGGACTGAAACAGACTCTGTGTGTAGCTGGTCCATCTCTTTGAGCGCCGCCTTTCTGGCTTTGTTGCCCCACACTTTCAGACCCTTGGGTAGAAGATGTTGTTGGGCATGCCTGCTCTCATCCTTGACTTCTGCTGTGGCACTCCTGTGATTGCAGGAGTCCATGAACAAAGCTAGGTGCTTGCTTGTCTCTGTCTCATACAGTAGTGGTTGCTTCGCTTCGTCATCTTTGGACGAAGGTGACTCCTTCTTTGCTTCGGCTGTAGCAATCCGAGCTGAACGTCTAATTCCAACTCGAGGGAAGCTTGGAAGCCTTGGCTGGCCAGCGAGGTTTCCATCATTGGTATCCACTGCTGGTGCCGTTTCTTCAACTGTAGGGTTGTCTGGACTTGTGCTGTTGGGATTCCTTGGAATCCCTCTTCTCCTTCTTCATCGGAGTCAATGTCTGTGGCATACTGTTTGGATGCCCTTGGTACTAGCCCTGGGGCGTTCCCATCCTCAGAATCTTCATCTGATTCCGTGGATTCCACTGAATCTTCGTCCGAAGAGTCTCCATAGACTTGAAGGTAGCTCTCATTTCCATTGACACCATCCACTCTGCAGGCAAACCTACAGGTAAAAATTCCACAAAGTCACGGTTGTGGAAAGATTAGTGGTTTCTTACCCTCACCGTAGGCCTTCTTTTCGACAGCATCAATGACTGAGCGAGGCATCGCGCAGGATGCGGACATGCTGACGCGTGATCACCTCAAAGGTGACGAGGTCCATCACCACGTGTCCACCTTGGTGGTTGTCCATCAATGGACGGAGATAGATGCAATCCAATCGCCTGGGCTCCATGGAATTGAGCTTGTCTGGTTCGTTGGAAGCGAGGCAATAGCTCCCAAAAGTGTAACTGAATATCTTTGTAGCTTGTGGTCCGACCCTCCAAGATCTGCCTGGGAGGATACACTTTAGAGATTCCATCAAGCGCGTGGGAAGAGGTTGAGTTTACAGTAACATCGTACACCAATTCCACAATCATCACCTTTGGCATCACCATGAATGGGGTTGAATGCCAGGCTGCGCGGATGCGCTCCTTCAAGGTTCGGATGTTGCGCTCGGCGGGACCACTGTGAGTCTGAGCCGCTCCATGGTTGAGCTTGAGTTTCCATGTCGTTCTTGACAGGATCCATCAGGCTCTTGAACTCCAGGTCGCACTGGATTTCTTGGATCTTGAAATCATTATTTCCGTACCGATCAAAAATCTTGTCAATGGCGGCATAGAATGATTTTCCTTTCCTGTTGGTCAGGTAGGCTGATTCGCGGTGTCGGATTGTCAAGTCAGTGAATGCTAGAAAGCAATCTCACAGACATAAAACACATCCATGCATCCGGTCAAGAACCTGTGTGGTGCCACCACTCATCCGGAACAGCATGAATACTGTCGGTCACTGGTGGTGGGCGTCTGCGTGTAGTAGATCCCTTGGCCTTGCCCATTTCGCTGCCGAAAATTAATTCGCGCGATCGATGTCCTCCAGCTTGGACGGGACGGTCGCGAATTTGACCAGTCCTGATCATGTTGCGGTACCCTCCAAAGTTGGGCGCTGGAGGTTGTGGTACAGATTTCTTGCGAGGAATGCACCTTGCTTGCTTATTGGTAAGCCTTCGAGGTTCGCCCTTCCACCGTCTGACCAAATTCTGGAACTCCTGTGAAAACTTGTTGAGTTGGGCCATGTTGATACAGTAGGTCTTGCTCAATCAGCACGCCATACAGACCTTTGGCGGTCCTGCAATACCTGGTATGGTATCCCAGTTGGGCGGTAGTGATAGATGGAGGTCGTCGACTCTTGAGTCCATGAGGACATAGGATCCAGCCTTGTCCCTGACGCAGTCATCCACAACAAGAGACAAAGCGTTGATATTAGCGATGCCTCCTGGATTGGAATAACCATTGCCGTAAGGGTGTACCTTCTTGGAGTAAGCTGGTACTTCCAACATTGGTGGCCATCTCGATTGGTCTGGAGATAGCCGCTTGCGGACAATCATGTCCTGAGTTCATACAGTTCTGATTGAACTGCCACTGTCGAGATACACTGTGTTGGCTCCATCAGGAATGAGGTTCTTACCGGACACTCCTGCAAGATTTGGCTCTGCACACTCCTGTGAGTTCGGCATTTGCCACTCCTGGAAACTCAAACGCAACTTGATGGTTGTTGGTCTTTGACTGATAGTGAGTCTTGTCTTGGAAATCTTCATAACAGTTCCTCGCCTGATTCTCCCGTTGACGCGGGCTGGGTCCACGGTACAGTGCAGACGAAATTCATTCTCTGTATCTGAGGTAGTCGGAACAGCAGCTCTGATCATCGTCTGGCGCCATCCCGAGGGATCACTCCTTCACATGGAGTCGTGTGGAAGACGTGTGGCAGGAAGCAGAACGACTCACAATTTATTATGGGTTTATTATACGCTGAAGGATAAAGTCGGATCCGATGCTTATACACCGTCAGGACCTCCTCAGCAAGCTGATCATAGCCGTAGCCGATATCTCTCCTCTTTTTCATCACTTGGTGGGTGGATGCATCATTTGCAGTCCATCCTGATTACCGTTCCCATACAGGAGGAGTCATGTCCTTTGGAAGTGGCGCGGTGCTGTCTGTGTCTGCGAAACAGAAATTGAATTCGAAGAGCAGCACGGAAGCGGAATTGATTGGAGCTGACGATGTCATGTCGCCCATGCTGTGGGCAAAATTGTTCCTTGAAGAGCAGGGGATCGTTGTGAAGGACAACATCCTCATGCAGGACAACAAAAGCATGATCATTCTTGCAGAGAATAGCAAAGGCAGTTCGGGCAAAAGAACTCGGGCCATCAACATTCGTTTCTTTTTTATTCATGACCAGATTGGAAAAGGCAACCTTAGAGTTGTGTACTGCCCAACCTTGGAAATGCGTGGAGATTTTTTCACGAAGCCCCTTCAGGGCAAGCTCTTCTACGAGCACAGGGCTTTCATCATGGGGCATCCACCCCTTGTTTGATTGTCTAATTTATTTTATTCGTTCCACGGTAGCCACTTAGGGCACCGTGCAGGAGTGTGTTGGAGGAAATATACCTGACACCTCTTTACTATTGACTCGTGTATTAAACATCTAGTCCGGTTCGCATGCATATTCATGATGCAAGGAACCAAGGGAGTTTTAGGTCTAAAGTGTTACGGGGGTCCTTATATCCAATTCAATCACAAGAATTGCTATGCACCACCAGAAAAACCTCACTTTTGCTTTACAGCTTAATCTAAAACCAAATTACTCCCCAATAAGCTGCAGTATTACTAGCAAACAACAACTCGCAATGCGCCTGTAAGAAAACTTATGTTCCGTTGCCAGATGAGACAAGACGGAGCTCAGATGAAATGGCACCCAGCGAATAACACTTGGACCTTGCTCGTTGCCTGCCGTGTCAAGAATCATATGAAGCTGTTTCGGGACCTTCTTGGCTTCGCCACTAAGAAGAGAACAAAGTATATTCATGAAATCATCATCCAAGTTCTTCGATTCGCTGAGAAAATTGTCGATAAAGGTCTCGCGTTTGCCAACGATCAATCTCACGCATGTTGTTGACCCATAAATCAGCCCCGGAAGCAGTCCAAAGTAGATCGCTTCCTGCGCCGAGTCCAGATTTGATCTTAACTTTAGCGCCTTGGTCAAAGTATCGGTAATCGGAAGTTCTTGCAATACAACGGGTCGCACACTACCTTGGCTTGGATCGATGAAGAACTCAAGCGTTGACACTTGGTGCGAAGAAAAGACAAAATACCGGTTCCGTATTGCAATAAAATGCCGCTTGACGAATCTTGCAAACTCAGCAGCTGCTGGCGAATTCTCTTCCTATAGCTGGTTGAGGTTGTTTAATTCGTCGACAATCAGAACACAAGGCGTTGAATCTTCGTCTCCCAACCATTGCAGAAAATCTTCCTGATCTATGTGTTCCTTCTTGTTGGAGAAATCATCAAATGTACCGGTGTTTCTCTTTCTTCCGTCATTGTGTGAGGCCATAAAAGCAATCTGCCGCAGCAGGGCTTCCTGCTCCCATGGTTGAAGCGAAGAGTAATCATTAAGCGAAACGTACAAGACGGCAATATTTGCTTGACCATCTAATTTGTATCCTCGTATCTTGTTGGCAATCTCATAGAGAGCCCTGATTCCCCCCACGAGAACAACGAACGACTGCCATCGGAGCTACCCGTTCTAGGGTTTGGTCACCATCATGATCTGTTTCATCGGAGTATTCTTCAGTATTTGAACCTACGTGATCGTCCGACCGCTGGATTTGAGCGACAATCTCAATTCCGACACCGTCTAGCCAACCGTCCGGAGCCACGAACTCGGGCTTTGTCGACTTGAGTGGTACAACGTCGCACGGCTTTGGAAGAGACTCATCGAACGAGAAGCACATTTTTGCTTTCTTTACCGTCTGAGTGGGTGCCACCACAACCAAGGGATAATCAGAGGATGTTGGGGGAGTTGTACCGCTCAATTCGGCCATCACCGCTGACAACTCCTTGCCTGCTTGGTATTTCTCCCGGCTAGCACAGGATTTAGGTGGGTACACCTTGACTTCACCCAGCAACGCAGAGTCAAGTCTCGCCAGCACTGCCGCTTTCAAGTCGGCAACATCATCAGGTACTGGTCTAATTTTTATGAGGTCATCGCCCGCTGGCTCCTCCATTTCCTTGTCCTTATCCTCCCAACAGAGCTGTACCCAAACACATGGAGTAGTCATGGATAGAGGAGTGTTGCTGTTGTTTGCAGCAGCGGCGGTGGATGGGTCGATTTTGCTAAGTTCAACACACCCAGACAGAGCGAAGGGAAGGGCTAGCGTGGTTTGGATAGCTGCTGCGGCTGCCCTGGTGGACTTGCTTTTGCTGCACTCAATACTCGTAGGACGCTCATGTTGCTCCTTTTTTGTTGCTCCCATGAAAATCCATGTCTTTTTATATTTTGTTGTTGCTGCTTTGTTCCTGTGACTTGTTGTGGTGCATGATACGGCTGTACAGTACGGTACCTCCGAAATTGTTCAGTCCCGAATTTAAAACTGCCGTTGAATCCTCGTTTGGCGTTCAACGTCGGGACTACACACCGGTTGCTATTAAAAAATACTAGCTACTCGAGTAGCTATCGGTAGTTAGTGAATTCGGCAAAAGACTAGTAAAACGGATGTACCAGATACCGGTACAGGAAATGAAGGTTCAGTCACTTTTGCTAAAATCGTATGTGTTATTAACTAATCCGAAAAAATTATAATTGGAAAGAAAAGGAGCAGCTTTGTGTCACACCAGGGTTCGCTAACCGGTAAATTTGGTTATTAGTTTTGGTTACCAGTTAATCGGTTAATAACCAGTCAAATCAACCAAAACCGATAACCAATCAATTCATTGGTTATTGGTTGACCGGTACATTTTTGACTGATTGATTCGACTGGTTATTGGTTGATTTGGCACATTGATTTAACTCGTTTTTGGTTGATTTGACTGGTTACTTTTGGTTACGCGAATAGCTTCTTTTGTGGTTACTTTTATGGTTGACTCGCAAATTTACATTTCAAATGAAGATTCTAACTTACAAAATGGTGACTTCCTTTGGAATCACAAGGTAAATGTGAGTGACGATAGGCAGCAAGCGGCTAAGAACCGAACTAGGATGCTCCCCAAGCAGTACATGGTGTACAAAATGGACGGAGAAGAATTATCACAACTGAGACAAAGGAGGAACTAGACTTTTATCATGATGACGCTTAGAATAGTGGCCGGAAATCCTAATGGTTACTTTTTGTGGTTACTGGTTAATAACCAATAGTAAAATAACCAATAACCAATGGTTGATCAATCAATAACCAGTAACCAGTACCCTAGATTTATTGGTTGATCAACCAATAACCAATAACCAATAACCGGTACCTTTCATTTATTGGTTGATCAACAAATAATCAATATCCAATAACCACAAAATATTTTAGCGAACCCTGTATAATCACACACGTCCCATGTTCCCTGGGTTGGGACGCTCATTCGCCGCGAAGCTGGTGGGAAGGGGGAATCTTAAATTAACGGTGGTCCCCGCAAGCACTTTACAATAGGAAAACAGTAGGGGGGACGGGGACCGAGGTGGCATAATAATGGTTTTTGTCACCTCGGTCCCCCTCTATATTATGTGCGGTATGGTCTCTATCTATCTAGCTATGCCGGCTTGTAGTTGATTGTTAACCACATGCTACAGGACCTCTGTGGAAACGTCATTCGTGGCAAAATACTTAAGAGACGATACACCGAGGAATAGGAGATGATCGAAATGATTTAAGAGACGAAAGCAATCGTCTCCTATATTTAGGAGACGATTCAGTAGGAGACATTCCAATTAGGAGACGAAAATTTCGAAATAGGAGATGATCCAAAAGATTTAGGAGACGATACCATACAGTTTACATGGTACACTTAGGAGACGATCCGTTGAAAATAGGAGACATTTTAAGAGGAGACAAAAGATTTAGGAGACGATCCGTTTCGTCTCCTATTTTTAGGAGACGAAATCCATTAAATAGGAGACGATCAAAAGGATTTAGGAGACGAAAAGTAGCACGACTCGAGTTTCCACAGAGGTCCAGTATATTGTAGAGGTTATTTGATTACCTTGCAACCGAAGCCAACACCATTGTCTCCCACACACTTATAATTCCAGCGTTGGCTTTATCGAAAAGACTTTTATTATGACCCAGTACTCAAATCGTGTAGAAACCTACGTAAAACTAATCACAACCAACCAAAACCTCATAAAACAGATCCAACGAAAA